TGATTGTGCACTATAGAAAATCTGAAAATAATAATTGTTTTTACGACTTTAAGATCTTGTACAAAGACATCCTTATTCTTTGAACTTTAAAAGATTGTTTTATTTGAAAAGCAGATGTACAGAAACAGCAGGAAAGATAGAGTGGGAGAGAGCCTCGATCTGCTAGGTCACTCTTTAGGTGGCCACAATGGCCAGAACGGAGCTAATTTCAAGCCAGGAGCCAAGAGCTTCTTCCAGGTCTCTCATGTGGATGCAGGGGCCCAAAAATTTGAATCATTGAACCATTCTCTGCTGATTTGCCAGGGCATAAGTGTAGAACTGGATTAGAAATGAGTCATCTGGAACCCAAACTGGCATCCATGTGTGATGCTGATGCCACAGGCAGAGTTTTAGCCTACTATGCGAGGAGCCAACCCCAATTGACTATTTTAATAGCTAGGCTACAAGCATTGAAATGACTAGTGCTCTAAATAATAATTATTAATTGAAAATCCTCTTATGAAAACTAGCCATAATACGGCTTTAAGTTTTAAGGAGTACTAAGTGGCATAAGAAGCTATTTTGAAAGATCAATCTGAATTTTGATTGGTTCTGCTACGATTTCCCCCATATCTATGGAAAAATGGAACAGAATTCCCTGCAACATCAAGAAGACTCATTGCTTCTGTATTTTATGGAATTATGGGATTAAATAATCTCCATGGAACTGTCTATTTGGGTATGAAGAACATGCCTCAAAAAAGAACATGTCTCAATGTCTGAACAATCTTGGATTCTTAAGCTTATTTGTGTGAAGAAAACTTAATTTGTTCTTCGTTTTAGTTTTCAAAGAGTTCTTCCAAGGGGATCCATAGTAAAAGTATGATTTAAGTAGAAAAGAGTGATCTCCGGGAAAATGGCAAAGAGAAACAATATGCATTCCAGAAAAGAAACTGTTACATCGAATTATAATTGGGTGGGTTTGTGATACATCAAGGTGGAGCTCCAAGTAGAGAATTTTTCTGGAATCGATTAGTGCAATATGATTTATCTATTTATTCAAATTTACATGATTCTTGTTGAGTTAGGTAAACTTTGCAAGTGATTTAATAAGAAATTCTGTGAATTGAGCCAACTCTATGGTTCAACAAACTAATCCTTCATTCTGTGGCAGTGGCGTCCCATATGGGCAACAGTTCATGTTCTGGCTTCTGAGATTCCCATCCAGCTCTTTGCTTGTAGCCTGGAAAAGCAGTGTAGGACAGTCCAGGCCCTTGGGACTCGGCACTTATCTGAGAGACTTAAAGAGGCTCTTGTCTCACGGCTTCAGATCGACTCAGTTATAGCCATTTGCAGAGTGAACCAGTGGATGGAAGAACTTCTCTCTGTCTCTCCTTGTCTCTGTAAACCTGCCTTTCAAATGCAAATAAAGAATTCCTTTAAAAAAAAAGAAATTTTGGATGAGTGTTGCAGCACGATATATTAAGCCACCACTTGCAACACCAGTATTCTACACAAGCTTCACTTTTGATCACACTCCCTAACAGTAGGGCTGGGAAAGCAGCAGAGGAGTGCCCAACTTGACTCCCATGTGAGATCTCAGATGGAATTCCCAGCCTCCTGACTTCAGCTTGGCTCTGCCTTAGTGACTCAGATATTTTGAAGAGGGTTCTGTAAAGGATTCTGTCTTTGAGGCTGTAGCACTGAAAATATACTTTATGGCACAGCCTCAGAATTTAGCAAGACTGGATTCATAGAAAACAAAACACAACACAGATTCAATACCCAGAAATACATTTGCAGTTAAACAGAAACAAACATACAAATGTTAAGAGAACCTTGCCATATCAGGAGAAAGCTATCAACACCTGAAGTATCATGGTTAGGGATTTCCAGAAATTTCCTCAGGGTCTCAATTTGGAGATCACAGGCAGGAAGTTCTCTCCATGGATAAGATAAAGTTTCTGCTTCCAAAATTCCCTTAAAATTATTCTGGACAAAAGTTGTTGTGTGACAAGGTAGGGTAGCCATTCCCCTAGGAACTGGTTAGGGACCTGGGGAAACTCACTTCTACCCATGCTCCGTGTTGTAAATAAATATAGAGGTTTTTTTTTCTCCTGTAAGTGAGCCAAGTCCACAAGAAAACAGTACTTACTGCTCTACACTGCTGAACTACAGCACAAACAAGGAGTTGGAAGATCTTTGGTGTGTGCTCTTTGCGCTAACTGCACTTGAAATAAACAATTAAATCCTTTTAAAAATTCCTTGGAGTTTCACCAATATTGGCAGACATAATGGGAATTTGTGGGCTGAAGATATCTGGCAGACCAGGAAATCATCTCAGTAAAGAACTGAGAGCCCAGGTGGTATCCAGAGGGGAGTTTTCATAGGAGTATGGGCCCTCAGTTTCACCCAGTCACTGTCCATCAGGGACACCTTGAATAGACGAATTCCTGGACATGGAATTTCTGAAATTCCTCTAAAAACTTCACAACAGCTCTAATATTCCCCTTGGTGTAGGGCAAGAAAGGTTTCCTTAAGCTTCACCATAAAGAAGGATGGTAACCAGAAAACAAGGTTATGAAACACTGGCAAGACTTTTGCTTCTACATTTCTTCTCTCATTCAATTATACAAAAGAAATTTGTGTTTTCTTACCAAAAACCAAGAAAAAATTCTCATCTCCTTAGCCTCTTGAATGCATAGGCTAATGTTCACCTAGCTACTTTCATTTTCTTTCCTCAAGAGAAGTAAATCATAATCTTTTTGTAGGTAGCATGCGTGAAGTTCCATCTCGTGCATTTTCTTTATGTTGGTGTATGGACTTAGAGCTGCCTATGAGCATTCTTCTCTCACTCTTTATATACTCTTATTTGGTGGTGACCTGAGAAAAGATTACCTTGTGTAGTTCAAAACATATTCTAGAGTAGTGGAAATGTAGACCATGGCTACATTCTAACCCACAGAGTATAAATTTTAAAGTAATAGATCTTTAAACTAGTAGTAGAGCATTCTAAACCATTAGATTGGCAAGGATATAAAACAAAGCTACAAAAATATACTTAATGGATTCAACACCTACTTCTCAGTATTTGCAAGCAACTCAGATTGAACCAAAGATCTAAATTAAAGACTAGCAATTGAATTATCTGGAAAAAAATGTAGAAGAAACACTCCAAGACGTTGGTGTAGGGAATGACTCCTTGAACTAGAAACCCAAAGCACAGACAAAAAAAGCAAAATCAAACAAAAGTACTACATCAAACTCCAAAACATCTTCACAACAAAGACATGCTCAATAGAGTGAAGAGACATCCAACAGAATTTGAAAAAAAAAAAAAATTGCAAAGTTCCTATCCAACAAAGATTGATATCTGGAAAATATCAGCAACTTAGAAAACTCATCAACAGAAACAATTGGGCTGGTACAGTGATATAACAGGTTATTCTCCACTTGTGGTGTCAGAGTGTTATATGCGTACCAAGTCTAGTCATGGCTGTTCTACTTCTGATCCAGGTCCCTGCTGATGGCCTGGGAAAGCAGCAGAGGGTGGCCCAAGGTCTTCGCCCCTGCAGTCATGTGAACAGCCCAAAGAAGCTCCTGGCTCCCAACTTTAGATCAGCCCTAGCTGTGGCCGTTGCAGCCTAGCTTGTAACTCTTCAGAAAGTGAAAAAATGGATGGAAGCATTTTCTCTCTCGCTCTCTCTCAATCTCCAACTATACTTTTCAAGGAAAATAAATTAATGTTTAAAATAAACAATTGCTATTAAGAAATGAACAAAGGACTTTGATAGATAATTCTCTAAAGAAAAAAATACAAGTGGCCAACAAATATATGAAAAAATGCATCAAGGATATGCAAATTAAAACCACAATGAAATATCATATTACCTCATGTATGTCCGAATGGCTGAATTCAAGCCTGGTACTATAGTCTATTGGCTAAATTCTCACTTTGCATGCGCTGGGATCCATATGGGTGCCGGTTTGTATCCTGGTTGCCTCACTTTCCATCCAGCTGCCTGCTTGTGGCCTGGGAAAGCAGAACTGGATGGCCCAACCCTTGGGACCCTACACCTGTATGGGCAACCCAGAGGAAGCTTCTGCTCCTAGCTTCAGATAGGCTCAGCACGGTGGCATAGAAGGTATAACCAAACACTTATTATATCAAAATCCCTTATGGGTGCCTGTTCAAATCCTGGCTGCCACACTTCTGATCCATTTCTGTGCTAATCCAACTAGGAAAGCAATGCAATGGAAAATCTTTCTTTTTCACTCTGCTTTCCCCTCTCTGTAACTCTTGTCTTTCAAATAAATAAATGATTTATTAAGACACAGGCATTGTCATATTTTATATAACAAAATTATTTTTTAAAGATTTATTTACTTTTATTGTAAAGGCAGATTTTTACAGGAAGAGGAAGAGACAGAGAAAGATTCTCCATCTGCTATTCACTCTTCAAATGACCAAAACAGCAGAGCTGAGCCAGTTTGAAGCCAGAAATCTCTCAAATTTCCCATGTAAGTGCAGAGTCACAAGGCTTTGGAACACCCTCCACTTCTTTCCCAGGCCACAAGCAGGGAACTAGATGGGAGTAGAGCAGCCAGGATATGAACCTTGTCCATATGGAATCCCGGCAAATGCACAGGGAAGATTAGCCAATTGAGCCATCACACTGGGCCCATGACCTAGCAATATTATTTTAATTTATATGCATCCAGGGTATTTGCATGATAAAAAGAAGATGTGAAAAATATCATGCTCATTTAAAAGACTTACCAATTTGATTATTTCAACTTGTTTATCCTTGTTGAGTCTGTCCCCAAAGTGCTCATTAATTCTTTTGCTAACTATAATAATAACTTATAACCTAAACAAACATATCTAGCCTATGCATTTTCATTCATTCATTCATTCATTTAACAAGATCTATAGGTCCTTACCATGTGCAAAACAAAGGACATTGTTCATTTGAACAGAGAATAAAATAAAAAGATAATGAAAAATTTCAAAAAACTATTTATTTCTTTATCATTTTTCTCAGTGCACCCAAAACCTCTTTGTTTCTCAGGCTATAAATAAAGGGATTTAGCAGGGGGATTATAATTGTGTAGAACAGTGAATACATTTTATCCTGGTATTTTTGGGGGCCAGATCCAGGACGCACGTACATAATGAAAAGAGTGCCATAGAACAAAGAGACAGAGAGCAGGTGGGCACTGCACGTGGAGAAGGCTTTGTTTCTGCGCTTGTCAGACTTCTTCAGAATGGCAAGTAGGACACGAATATAAGAGACCATGATGGTCAAAAAAGTAATAGCTTGTATAAAAGCAGCAAATATGAAAACTACTAATGCATTGATAGATGGATCAGTGCAAGCAAGTGTATATAGAGGCAAGATTTCACAGTAGAAATGATCTATTACATTGAACTTACAGAAAGTTAGTCTAAATAATAAGCCTACATGAATTATAGGGTGCAGAAAACCAATTACATATGACAGAGCTATCAATGAAACACAGACTCTGTTGGACATTATTACTAGGTAAAGTAAAGGGTTACATATGGCAACATAACGGTCATAGGCCATCACTACCAGAAGAAAACATTCTGTGGTTGCACTGGAACCAAAAAAATAATATTGGGCCATGCACTCAAACAGGGATATCATTTGACCATTGTCTAAGATGTTGACAAGCATCCTAGGAGTCACAGAGGAGGAGGTACAAGCATCTGCAAAGGCTAAGCTGCCAAGGAAAAAATACATAGGGGTGTGAAGATGTGGGTCCTTCCAGATGAGAAAAATCAGTCCAACATTGCCCACCATGGTGATGACATAGATCAACAAGAAAGCCAGGAACAGAGGGACTTTCAGCTCTTGATTGTCTGTTAGTCCTTTCAGAACAAACTCGGTCACCAGACTTTGATTGGTCTCCATCACGACCACTCTGGGTGATCACTACAATGAGAAAGCATCAAAAGAAAAATGAAGCTATACATATTCATATTAAATATGATGTCACATTCCATATTCCTCTGTTTCTAAAGCATTTTTCTTTTAAATGCAGATCTGAACACATGAAGCATTTTATAAGTAGTTTTGAAATACAGGATTTTTTGAAAATATATAAATCTTTGAAAGGTGATAGGAGTCTGTAGTCACCAATCCACTTGGCTCAATGACTCATCGATCAGAAACAATATAAACTATGTAACTGATTATTTTACACATAGTTCAGAATTTTAAAAAATATATTTTATATTAACATCTTTTAAAGCAAGTCTGATTCAAGTTTAAGAGACTCTTCTCACTTTAACTGCAACTCTCATATCTTTTATGTGGAGAGAAAATGAACGGTACTATGTTAATGATTAGTATCATTCCTTCCTACAAAGTATCATCAGTCAGTCAAGTAATAAGACAATAAGCCAAAATTGTGTCTATAGTGTTTTCTTTCAAGAAAAACCATTGTGTTACTTCTTTACACAATCATCAAACACATTGAATTTCTAATAGATTTTTATACATTTCCTCAATAAAATCGTAGATGAATAGAACAATTAGTTACTTAGTTAATAAAGATGTATTTAGTATTTAATTAGAATACCGCCATTCTTACCTTATTCACACACAGAGAGCTCATAACTAGGATGACACAGCCATAATGCTAACATAATCTCCATTTAATAGGAAGAAACTTAAATACATGCAGACATTGGTCATTCTTTTGTTTTTTGTTTTTTGTTTTTTGAGGTACATTAAGGGCTTATCACGCATCATGTCAGCAATAACAACAACAAAACATTATCCAGTTAACTTGTAACATTTTCAAGATGCAGAATCCTGGTAAATTGTTATGATTCTCCTATTCCTACTCCCTTTGAGTGAGATTGCAAAAGTCACTATTGGAAGAAACATTTTAAAAGATGCCACCAGGGAAAGATGCAGCATTTTTAAAAATCTGATCTCAACATAGTAAAAATGATAAATTTTTTTCAATAGCAAATCAAAGAGAAAAGCTGCTAAGCAATGACTGACATGAAGAGGAGCTAAGCAGAAAATAAAACCAAGTGAACATGTATTCCTGACTGTTATAAGCCTGGGTAATAAATGAGAGGTTGGCCCCCTGGATACCATGAGGGGAACTAAGTCACCATTATCACATTTCTTTAAAGAAAAATTAAGCATAATTGTGGTATAAAAATATTTGTAATTCAAATTCCTCCCATGAGGATCTAAAACAAGAGCTACTTACTAAGAAATTATTGATATTAACATTCAATGATTCAAGAAAATACAAATGCTGGCTTCACAGCTTCTAGGTATTAACGACAACTTCATCCAAAGCCCATCATGCCAGCCCTTGTTTTTACTTCTATAGTCAAAAGTCACCAATTTTCTACAGATGTAGTTAGAGAATTCACCCCTAGAGATTGTGCCAATCAATTATTTAATTTCTTGAAGTATGTACTAATCCCTCAAAACATACAATATTGAAAATCAAAGAAGATGGAGCTAAGGAAAATGTACTTCCCGATACAATTGAGACATTTTAGATAGAAAATTACTCAGTGTTCTCCCACTGTTATATATTTGTTTAGAACATACTCTGTTGGAAAAAAATAGTTTCAAAAACTGCTGTTAGACAGAAAAAGACTAAGTTTGTGATTTTTATTGAACATAGAAATGACCTTCCAGAAAGATCATGAACAAATTGCTCATCTGTTTTTCCAATTCAAGCCTGTTTTCTGCTCTGTTTGAGAGATAAATTATCCAATGAGGAAAAAATGGAAACAAATTAAAGGTTTATATTCTCACCTAGTGTCCATTAGAAGATGTAATAATGCCATAAGCTAGAACAACTCTTAAGATGTGAGAACAATATACCTAAACCATGTTCTTTTTTAGAAATACCATTCAAAGGAAACAATATTTATTTGTTCCCAACTCCATTCTACTTGAGAAGCTAAAACTCCCTCAATACCACCAAATTATCCCCTATAGGATAAAGGCATCTACTGGGCATTTTAGATTAATCAACAGAACACTTCTAACAAACCCAGAGAAACTATTCTTTTTGCAACTTTCTTTTTCTTTTTTCTGAAAACAAGCACATTATAAGTAAATATAAGTAAAGGAAAAAATGTATTGCAATGAGATTTCTGCTGTTACTATCAGTCATATAAATTTGACTTTGAAGAGAGGAAGTGTAACTGAATTCACTGGAAAAAAAATATTTCTGATGAATCTATGTACTGTGTGTGAATACATGTATATTCATCTTCTGATATTATTCGATAATTCAACAGTATCTTGTTTTTTAAACCTACATTGTAAAAATTGCACTTCTACCAGTGATGTAGTAGTTTTTATAAATCAGTCCTATTAGAATAATTTTGATTGAACCATGATAGTGCCAATTGCCAACCATTTTGACATAAAAAAATAGGAGATTTTAAACAGCTCTAAAAATGGAGAAAAAATATTTGGACATTAAACAATGCATACATATATTGAAACAATAGAGTAGCCTGTAAATAAACATAATTTTCACATGTCTAGTACAGTTATTTTTTAAATTCTTCTTATAAATAGATTACATGCATTTAATAATACAATGCTGAAAAGACAACCAGCATGTTAATTCTTACAAAACCAAATAACTCAAATTCAAAAAAGAAATAAGTGAAGAGAAAAAGCTTGAACAGGCTCTTCATTATACAAAAACACTGATGCAAAATCAGACGAAAAGATGCTCGGTTCAACAGGCTCCATCTTTGATTTCTAAGTACAGATGCATGCTGCATTGTATCTTCACATTTGGATACAATAGTCCCAATATTACACTGTTACTATACAATCCCTTAAACTAAAAACCCATGAGATGTAGTGAAAAAAGTATTGAAAGGGACATTTATAACATCAGGTACTTATGAAAATCCAAATATCTCAAATGAATGACATGATAGCACATCTCAAGGACTTATTAAAAATTAACAGGAAGCAATAAATTATAAAAATCACAGCAAAGATAAATGGAATTGAAACTGAAAATTTGAATTTTTTTAGTTGAATTGAAATTACAAACTAATTGAAACAAAAATCTAAAGGGAAAGAGCCATTCTTTTATTTTTATTTTTAGTTTGAATCTTATAGTATAATTCTGTCAAGTCTGGGATTTCCCATCACCCCCAAATTCCGACCCCCCAAATGATTTTTCCCATATTGTTACAATAGTATAGTCCTTCATAAGAAGTTATAATCCCATCAGAACAGAAAGAGCTATTCTTTAAGAAGATGAACAAAATGAACTTTTAGCAAGACTAGCAAAAATAGCAAGATGCAAAAACCAAGTAAAATTAGAGATGAAAAAGATAACATCCTAAGAAACTAGTAAGTGACTCCTTCCTAAATGTATCCTTTGATATCAATGTATCCATTGATATCCTAAATGTATCCATTGATATCCTAAATGTATCCATTGATATCCTAAATGTATCCATTGATATCCTTTGATCATTATATGGTGTCCTTGTTCACCTCTTTCAATATTTTTCACATTGAAGTCTATATGATTTGATATAAGAACGGCTACACCAGTTCGTTTTACCTTTAAAAACAAAACTTTGGGAAAATCAGATTTTACAGGGAAGCAGGTGCAGAGAGATCTTCTGTTCTCTGGTTCATTTCCCACAGATGACCACAAAGCCAGAACTGAGCTGATCTGAAGCCAGGAGCCAGAAACTTCCTCTGGGTCTCCCATGCTGGTGCAGGGTCCCAACACTTTGGGCTATCATCTACTATTTTTCCCAGGTCACAAGCAGGGAACTGGATGAGAAATGGAGCAGCCAGGATTAGAACCAGCTCCCGTATGGGATCCGGGCATATCTTTTCCATCCTTTCATTTTCAACTTTGTTGAAATTTTTGTTGGTGAGATGGGTTTTGTTTTGGGATCCAGTCTGCTAATCTATGATGTTTAATGGATGAGTTTAAGCCATTTCCATTCAGGGTTAGTATCAATACGCAGTAATTTTGTTCTGTCATTTTAGCTATGTGTTGTTCATTGTTTGACTTAGTCTTATTTTGTTGTTTTATTGGAGAATTGTCCACATTTGCCTTTAGTTTTGGCAGGTGCTATTCCTTTTCTCTGTCAAGAGAACATCTTTTAGAATCATTTGTATGTCTTTCCTTTACTGCAGAAGAATTTTATTCCATTTTCAAAGACAAAGGAAAGGTTTGCTGGGTGCATCATTCTGGGCCAACATTTTTTTTTTCCTTTTAGAATCTGGGATATGTCACTCCATTCTCTTCTGGCCTGTGGAGTTTCCTCCGTGAGGTCAGCGGTGAGTCTGACTGCCATTCCTCTATGTGTCTGCTTTTTTTTTTCACATGAACCTTTAAGGATCTTTTCCTTGTGTTCAATCGAAGAGAGCTTGATTATCATGTGTCGTGGTAAAGACCACTCTTGGTGTTAGAGTCCGGGCCAAAGCCTCCCGGACGTCAGGGTGCGAGCTAGTCAACCCCTAGAGAACAACAAAGAGTCTCACCGGTAATGCAAACAGCAAACAAGAGCTTATTGTGCCAGCATGCTGGGACCAGACCACACTTGGGGCACACAGGCTAGCCAAGCCGGGTGGTCGGACCCCAAACAGCCCAAGACAGAAGCTTATATAGGTCCTTTTGGGCTTGGAAATACATCAAAAGTAACACCCTTAGACATGTTCATTTTTATGGCCTTCAGGCACAGGCAGCCTGTTCTGTTCCCGTACCCACTATCATCCCATTTTCACACCCTTATCTTCCTCCTGTTCCTGGGACCGGAGAAGAATTGTGCCCTTGCCCCCTGCACCTGGGTTCACAAAGTTGAGGACAGCAAAGAACAGATTTATCACTAAAGCGGAATCCTCCCAAAGTCCAGGCGCCACCTGGCCTAGCAAAG